TGTAATAATATATTTTTATATACTAATAGAGAAGCAGGAGTGATAGCCACTTCCTAAACAACATGCCTCTGGAAACTCTATGAACTTTGATAAATGATAGTTCTAGAAAGGCTTTGGGCCTTTTGTTCGTAGGGTCACTATGAGTCATGCTCGACTCGATGGCAATCAACAACAACAATAGAGAATAAGGCAGCTCTGGTGACCTAGTAGTAAGAAGCTGCCCTGCAATCTCGAAAGCATGCAATTTGAATCCACCAGCTGCTCTGGGGGAGAAAGATGGGCAATCTCCTCCCGTGAGATTAACTGCCTCTGGAAATCTTCTGGAAGGTCAGCTCTGCGTTGGTTCTGACTTGATGGCACACAACAGCAACAATATATAAGGTACTAAAAGAATAGTTTCTTATATTATTGATTATTTATATTATTATATTATTGATTGCCCTCTCCTTCCTTTAGATTTGTAAATTTCAGAAGGACAGGCTTAGTTACTTGCTTTGTCTTCTGCTACATCCCAGCTGCTCAGAACAGTGGCTGGTACACAGTACAGGCTTAGCAACTATTTAGCAAGTGAATGAAAGAGAAGACAGCTATTGAATTTATACCTTCCATTATAAGAACCATTGTAGGAGTGTTTGACAGACCACAGCCCAATCCCGTGCCTGGGGATTATGTAACCCAGGAATATATATTTCAATGAGCAGTTGAGATGATTCTGGCACAGCTGCTGTGGAATCATCAGTTTATGCAACTCATTAACTCGATGCAGTCTTGAAGCTGAGGACGATGAGAGGCACTGAGGTCCTGTAACTATGTCATGGTCCATCCCAAGGTAAATGTGTCTCTCCTAATGAGCTTTCCACTCCAGTCATCAGAGAACCTGGATTTATGTAATGCATTTGCTACCACTTTCTTTCTCTATCTTTGAGATGAAGCTACTAGAGGCAAAAAGTGTGTGTTTGTACCTCCTTCGTGGTATAACAGGACAAAGGGTGTTACGCTTACAATGGTAACAACTCTATTGATGCCTTTGTACAGAAACAGCCCCCTATTTCCATGCTGAGTTACCACTGTTTCCCTTTCTCCTTGTAGTTCCTGGACATCTCCATCAAATGGACCACCCAAGACACCTTTCCTCCAAAGTACCTTCACTATGACCCTGAAATGTCTCGTCAGCTGATGTGTGACAAATGCCCGCCTGGCACCTACCTAAAGCAGCATTGTACTGCCAGGCGACAGACCGTGTGCGCCCCGTGCCCTGATTACCACTACACCGACAGATGGCACACAAGTGACGAGTGTCTCTACTGCACCCCGGTGTGCAAGGAGCTGCAGTTTATCAAGCAGGAGTGCAACCGTACCCACAACCGCGTATGCGAATGCCAGGAAGGACGCTACCTGGAGCTCGAGTTCTGCCTGAAGCACAGAAGCTGCCCCCCTGGGTATGGAGTGGCACAGGCTGGTACGTAGCATCAACGTGGGCTGAAATTAATTAGGATCGTTCAAGTTAGGCAATAGCAGAAGGTTAGGGGAACACTTTCGTCCTGATAACATTACAAGGAGAGCAAATTGCCCCAGTAATGGAAGCTGCTAGGGATGTACTGTACATCTGGGTGGCTGCCAAAGGCACGTTGCTCAGAGGAATACATGGCCACCGCTGGGCAATTTAGTGACAAATCTCAAAGACAGCAAATTGCCCTCTAATGAGATGCATGATGGATTGCTCTTTTTTAAAGGAACATCCTCCAAGTTGCACCATTTATAGCTGATCCATACCCCTGTGTTTCCCTTTCGCCTGGGCAGCTTCAAACTACAGTGCTTTTCTTGACAAACATCAGAAATGTTAATTGATACCAAGAGAGTAATTGTGCTGATATTAATGAGGCTCTAGAGCACTAACAATGAACAGTTATAATTAATTATGTAAAAAAATGAGAATGGTTGTGGGAAATGCATCTCACTATTAAAAATGAAGTGAGTAGTTCCTTGGGCATGGGAGTTGAGTGTCTGGGAGGATAAAGACACTGGCAGTGTCCCTTCAGTGAGCTTATTCTTTATCTCAGACAAAACGAATTGTCTAGCCAAAAGCAAGCACTTGTCTGTAAACAAAAATGCTTTCTCTTTTGTGCATTTGGAACAGTATAGGTTAGGGCCCATGTGGACTGAATGAACCTTTTGAATCTTCAACCCACATTTTTTTCCTATGGCATACATACAGCCCCAGTGTAATCCATCTTCCCTGATGACGGGCAAATTGTGAGTATTCCATTAGTTCTGAGGAGTCAAGAGTAATCTGTATGGAATTGCTCAGGTTAGAGCAGGGTTTCTCAGTCTCAGTTCTAATAGCTCAGGGCCTGATATTTCTTAGTTGTGGGTGGCTGCCCTGTGCATTGTAAGGTGGCCTCTATCACTAGATGCTAGTAGCACTCATTCACCACCCACAATGACCACATATATATTCCCAGACATTACCTCCATCACTCAGGGCTGAGACCTGCTGGCTTAGAGGACTTTAACAATGGGCTCGAGCATACTAGGGGTGGAGGATGGCGAAAAGCTGTAGGCTAGGCCAGGGTTCAGATCTGTGGCTCATAGGGTTGCTATGAGTCTTAGTCAACTCAATGGTACCTTGCAACAATTGATTTGGGATTGGGACCAACTCTAACTGACCCTCTTGTGAGTTTCAAACTGTAAATTGGGAGGAAATAGCCCAATGGTAATAGAGCAGTTAACATTTGGCTGTTAACCCAAAGGTTGTTGGTTCTAGCCTACTTCTTTTTGTTGTTGTTATGTATCTAACAGTTGGAACTGACCCATAGCTGATTCTCTGGTGGGTTTACAGAGACAGTTAATTGCATGGGCGGAGAGTGCCCATCCTTCTCTTGCTCGTGCCTACTGTTGTTGTTATGTGCCATCAAGTCGCTTGTGACTCATAGCGACCCTGTGTACAACAGCCCTAAACCCTGCTCTACCCCTTGCCAATCTTATTGTCTCCAACACACCTATCCTCATTACCCCAGTGACTGGATCAATCCATCTCATCAAGGGTCTTCCTCTCCTAGCCAGAGGAAAATATATCAATTTCTTTCTATACGGATTACAACGTAGGAAGATGTGTAGGGCATTTCTCCTCAGTCATGCAGCACAGAAATGTGTTGGGATTGATTCAGTAGTAAACAACACCAATTATTTGTAACTATTTTTCTTTTCAAACTCTGGTGTCTTAGTCCATAGAGAACTTTGCTGTGGCATCTCCCCAAGTTCAAGTCCACCAACAGCTTTGCAAGAGAGAGGTGGCCAATCTCTTCCCACGTGGTTTACAGCCTCCCAAAATCCTGCTGGAGGCTCAGCTAAGAGGTGGTTCTGACTTAATGGCAGTCAGAGTTTATTTTCAGTTCTCAGAAGTTGTGGTATGCAGAATTTAAATCATTAGATAGCAGACACGTAAGCTATAATAACATGCAAAGGAAACAAACTCAAGTAGAAAAGCTTTCTAAATGCTTTCCTAAATTTCTGTCTTACAAAATAAATCACAGAAGTGGTAAAGCAAATAAAACTCACTTAAAATACCTCTGTTATGAGAACTTAAAGGTGTAATTGGTGATATTTCCTTATTTTATTGGATCATACTTTGAGACTCCAATGGGAAGCCAGGGGATCAGGAAAAATTCATCCAACAAAAACAAGTCCATTTAATTCAGTTAAGTTAAGTTGTGGATGCAGAAAAAAAAATTAAGTATGAACTATATAGCTTGAAACTGAAAAATGTTGAAAAATAATGGAAATAGCGAGGAACTTCCTCAAAGAAACATGAAAAGATCATTGTAACATGAGAGGCAAGCAATCTGAAGACTGAGGACAAGGTTGACTTTTTAATATTTTGTGACACCACAGAGGGTGTCCTTTCCCAGTGAAAACCCACACAGTGGTTCCTCATGGAAAAGAAGAGATTTCTAGAACAAACAGAAGGAAAGAATGTGAGGTCTTAGTCATATTTCTTATTAAATAGTACTTACTCATTTTTCTTAGTACATATTATTGGCTAGCCATTCTTCCATTCTCTTTCCTTTGTATTATTCTTTCAGTCCAATTGTTTTCTCACCAGATTTTTCTCTTTGTCCTGTCTGCTAGCCCTGTCATTCCACTGGGATTGTTGTTGTTGATTGCCACTGAGTCGAGCACAACTCATAGCAACCCTATGAACAAAAGGCCTGAAGCCTTTTCTATAACTATTGTTGTTTCTCCAAGTTCATAGAGTTTCCAGAGGCATGTGGTTTAGGAATTGAATGCCAGTCCTACTTCCAAACTTTAATCAATCTGGGAGCTCCACCAAACACTGCCCATGATGGGTAGCCATTATGGAGTTTGGCACGCCTGTGGCACAGTTGTTCCATTATGGCATTTGAGACCCCAGTGGCACAAGATTCAGTGTCACAGCAAACTCAGATTACCTCAGCCCAGCAAAATGACCAGAGTGCTGTATGACTTAAAAGAATGTTCCTTCAAAATATAGCAACAAGGGATTAAAATATAATCCCTCGAGCCCAACTTTTAAATATAAGGGCTCTCCAGGAGGTCTTGTTGACTCTAAACAAGAGATGTAAATAAAAAAACAACCACACAACCCACACAGGTCCTCAACCAAAACAAGAACACCATCATACAGAGTCCAGCTGTTTCACCCAACTCCAAAACGAAGACAAGGGCCTGGCGTTATTTGCTATTGTTGTTAAGTGTCGTTGAGAAGTGACTCAATAAATAAAAGACCATAACCCTGTTCTATAACTGTTGGCCTCTAAGTTCATAGAGTTCCCACAGGCATGTTTAGGACGTGGATGCCACTCTTGCTTCTGAGCCTGTCTTAATCTGTGAGCTCTGCCTGTTGCTAAACCAAACAAATACCACTTTTTCTTGAGTCTGTTCTGACAGACTTGTAGGGCAGAGTAGAAGTGCTACCTACATATGTTTAACAATGGCATGGACTACTGTACCCCATCTTTCTCCCAAGGAGCAGCTAGTGGGTCAGACTGCAGAATTTCTAGCTATCAGATGAGTTCTTAAACCACTGTACCACCAGGAATCCTTGGTTTATAATTCAAAAGTCAAACTCATTACCAACAAGTTGGAACCAACTCATAACGCATATGATCCTCTATTTGTTCTCTGAGGTTCTCAGTTGTTCTTGAGGAGATAGCCAAACTTACAACTGCTGTTGTTGTTAGGAGTCTTACAACTAGTTTAGTGAAATTCTATTTATGTTGGAATGTTTTTCCTGTCAGGCTATAATTTTAATGTTCCTGTTATTATTAACAGGACATGCTGTTGTTGTTATGGGCCATCAAGTTGGAACCAACTTATCACTGACTTTTCAGCAGGATTTTAGAGGCTGTCACCTGCATGGGAGGAGATTTCCTGTCTTTCTCCCATGGAGCAGCTGGTGGAGTTGAAGCACTTGCTTTGGTGCTGGCAATGCAACTTCTTACCACTGGGCCACCAGTACTCCCTATTACATGGATATGTTGTTGTTTTTTGATGCCGTCGAGTCATAGACGACTCATAGCGACCCTATGAACGAACGGCCTGAGCACTGTTCGTACATAGAGTTTCTGGAGGCAAGCCATTTCGGAAGTGGATTCCGCTCCTGCTTCCAGGCTTGATTTAGTTGGGAAGCTCCAGCCAACACTGTCCACCATGGGTATCCGTTACCACGACTGGCACATCACTGTTACAGGCTTCAGCATCACAGCAACCACGAGTTACCTCTGTACAGCAATGCACAGACCAGTGCTATACTACCTAGAAGAATGTTTGACAGGAAGACAATGTGAACCTGGCTGAGGGCCACAGATGACAATCACCCACCTTCGGCTTGGTAGCACAGCTTCCTTCCACTAGGCCAACGTAGCTCTCTCGGTCATCATCATTGTTATTGTTGTTTGATGCCGTCGAGTTGTAGACGACTCATAGCGACCCTATCAGTGAACAGCCTGAGCACAGATGGATATAGTTTTTAAAAATTTCTAACAATTCTAAAAAGAAGGAAGTCTGGTTTTTGTTTGTTGTGGGTTGTTTTGTTTTTTTTTTAAAAGTCTTTAGATTAAGTCTCCAGCTGTACTAAAAAGTTTTCTTACTAGGACAGAATCATTTACTTAGATGGATGTAGATATTTTTTTTTTAATTCTAAAAATTATAAGAAGAAAGAAATCCTATTAAAGTTTTTAGATAAAGCCTCCCATGTACTAAGAAGTTTAACTCTTATCCTGTTTGTATTCCTTTTGTTATGGTATTTTTGCAAAGGCTAACTTCCCTAGAAGAATATTTTGTACTTTTGGTCTCCTTAGGATGTATAAGAAGACCCAAATCACAAATAGATATCTCCAGAATGACAAGACTCTTATTTTCTTTCCACAATAGGTAAGACCAGGCCAAAGGAGATTTGAATCCAAACTTCCAAATCTGTACTCCCAGCATTTGAGCTATGGGTAGATACCATGGAAGCCATGTGCATCCATTTCTGCTTAGAACACTGTACAGCTCCTTGTGGGGTTAGGTCTTTCTTAGGGAGGAGAGATAGAGCATTAAAAATACTGAAAAGACACACCTGGAGACCTCTTTGTGATTCTGCGGATCGTGTCTCTGTGGGACTTGTACATGATGCTTACTCTGTGAATATTTCAGGCCTTGGAAGTCACTTCAGCTTGGTTTTGGTCAGCCTCTTGTTGTTTTTACTGGTCAATATAACAATCCTGTTAGAAAGCAGAGTCTGAAGGGGGAAACTAAAGCCAATTCTTTTCATCTTCCTATTCTGAGATGGTTTTGGTGAAGGAGATAATGAAGTAGGAGGTGGACATTTTTAAAAGTGACGTTGCAAGGGAGCTCTGGTGGCCTAGTGGCAAGACGCTGCACTGCAATCCCAGAGGTACACGGTTCAAATCCACCAGATGCTCTGCTGGAGAAGGAGGGGGCAATCTCCTCCTGTACCAGTCAGATCTGATTTGACGGTACATGTAAAAATAATACAATAAAAATTTAAAAAAAAAGTGACGTTGAATAGCTCCCTGTGGCTTGCACTTGCCTCTTCTGTACCTGTAATGGTGGCAAAGTCAAAAGTGGTCTTTAAAAGCTTCATTTGAACATTATAGTCTAAATCTGTTCAGCTTGCTTACACTAGATGGAGATATTTTCATATGCAAATACACTGTGATGTATGATCTGGCCATGCATGATAGTCAAGTGCTTGAAGGGACTTATTGTAATAGCCTCCTAGACTGTTGACTGGCTCCAGTGTATCCTATCAATGACATCCCCAAATTTAACAAACATCTTTCCACCATGAAATAAAATGTCCTTGGGGTCACCTCTTCTTGAAGCTTTTAACGACAGCTCTCTTACACAAGGTTTAAGCAATCGTGTCTCATCTTCCTTTTACTAGGCAACTTTAAATGCAGGCTTACACTTTTAAATCCAAGGCAAACTTTATTGCCACCTTCAGAAGTTTATTGTCGTGTTTGCCATAAATTTTTATTTGTCAAAGTTAGTACAGTTAGGAGTTATTTCACAATTAAGATTCAGGAGAGAAAGGACGTCACTAGGAACCGATAGGAATTTAATGAGGTGGACTTCAATAAGTACTGATTGCTAAGAATTATATGATAGCAGACACAGAGCAGTCATTGCCAGGATTTCTTCAGGAATAAGTGTATGAAGAATAGAGGTGACAAGGACACTTATGACAACTTAACACAAACGGAACTCATGAACACTCCACCCTTCTTTCCTTTGCGTCTCAGATTTAGTGAGTGTTTTGTAGGTAACAACAAAATGAACTTGGATTTGTTTCATAAGGAGAGAAGAAAGCCCCAGGGGCTAAGTGTACAAGTTTGTTCTTTCTCTCTGTCATTGAAGTGAAGAATGACAGTGCCTCAAGTTTTGTGCAATGTAGGAATAGCAATAAAACCCAAGTCTTTCCAAAGCTGCATTACCAGGGTATCTGCTTTAAATGTGTTTAAGGAGAAAATGCCAACAAGGGGGGGAAAAAAAAGGAAAAGGTGCTAAATGTTGGGTATTTCCTATAGGAACTCCGGAGCAGAATACAGTGTGCAAAAAATGTCCAGATGGATTCTTCTCGAACGAGACATCCTCGAAAGCTCCCTGTAGAAAACATACGAACTGTAGTGAATTTGGTCTCCTGCTCATTCAGAAGGGAAACGCGACTCATGACAATATATGTTCTGGAAAAAATGAATCGGCTCAAAAATGTGGAATAGGTAACTATGCTTCAAACTTTTAAAGCCTTCACAGCATTTTTATAGAATCACTGTGAGTTGAATACAAGGCCCTCTGGCCACTTGGTTGGTCAAACTCACATTTTCCTGGTTCTGAATTTTAACCACTAACTGTTCTCTGTGCATCACTGCTAAAAGGACCCACTCAACATCCTTCTCCTAACCCAGACTTTCTCCCCTTCCTGTCATACATCAGATCTCTCCTGTCGGCAAAAAGGCAGTGCCAAGGCCTAATTTGCAAAGTCCAAGTTACAGAATCTTTTATGTCATGCATTGCCTCTGCTTTTGAGAATATCTATAATATCAGTCAAAGGGAAAAGTTGGCAATTAAAACATGCGGTGATGCTGGTGAAAAATTAGACATTTATAATTGGCGTTGCTTCTAATGAAATTGTTGCCCTTATGGCAGGGAAAAGCTCTGGTGACATAGTCCATAGTGTTGTGCTTTGGACCCAAAGGTGGCACCCCTCTGGAAGTTTGAACCCACTAGTTGCTCCATGAGAGAAAGACAGACAGTCTTCTCCTGTGCAATATCTAACCCCCAAAGTGCCGGAGTGTCAGCCATGAGCCAGCTCTGACTCTACAAGGATTTGTTCTCTTGTTTCTGAGATTGTAGAGAACGAAATAATTCCTTCTGGTTGTCGTGAATTCTTTCCCCAGTGTGGGTTACTCTCACCAAGGTCAAGTTATCTGCACATATTCCGTGTGAATAATAATACTAAGCAGGCTGAAAGATAACCTTTCCATCAGCCCCACCACTGTCCTCCTCCTCCAAGACTAAGAACATTGAGCATGCTTGGAGTGGATCGGATTGTGTGTGACATTGTATGCTTGTAATCAAAATTTCCCCAAGCATCTTTTTGTACAATAGATATAATAAGGCAGAGAAGTATGGGTTGGAGGACTTAAATTGCAAGTCTATCTCAACATATTTTCATTATGTAATTAAACTAGTAGACAATTTATTGTCTGTATTTTATGCAAATAATGCACATTATACTTCCTTTTTTTATCAACTTGCTAGGCTGAGCTGCTTTCCTTCATCTCACCAGTTCTATGTTATATGTGTAGGCTCATTATTTTTGAAGAATATTGTGAAAAAAGCGTTTCTGATTTCATATATGAAAAACGAAAGGAGGGCAGGTATATTAAGAAGAATGAATTTTATGTCCTTTATTATCATTTAATTTCTTATTTTAATCATTCATTGGGTATCACAGTGGTGTTTTATGATGGCTTTGCCTTCACAAAACCTCTATGAAGGTGATCAGAGCCAGAGTCAGGATTCAAACCCAGGTCTGACAAATTCAATGTCAAAAATCTTAAACCCCTGGATATACTTACCTTCCCCATACAACCAAGATGTTGCAGGTGTTTGTGTTTGATTCTTTTTCTATTTGATGTACACACATGTATCCATATTCTGCCTGTTCCCTAGGTGATAAACTATGTGTTCATGTGCATGCATAAAATATCATGCCTGACTATTTTTCAAGCTCTTTAAAGGCAGAGATATTTGTTTTTACAATAATATTAAAGTACCCTGTGGGCACTAGTTAAATCTTTAACAGAATGTAATATTTACATTACGTTATATAATCCCTTTTTGGCCACAATTTACTTATGTCAATATTATCTTTCACATTTAGTAGACTCCACCTATTCCAAAATGTTTATGTTTCCAAAGATAACTTTAAAGAGAGTATGAATGAATCCAATTGAATAAGCTGCTACTAAGATCAGTCACCAGAGGCTGACTTTATTCAAATTCTGTATTTTAGCAAATCACATCTTGGAAAACTCAATTGCATTTGTTTCCTATTTTTGTTAATGTCAGACTTCCAAGAATTCAACAGTTAAGTAAAATTTCTTGGTTTCTCCCCCCCCCCATAGATATAACGCTATGTGAGGAGGCATTCTTCAGGTTTGCTGTTCCTACAAAGTTGACCCCTAATTGGCTCAGTGTCCTGGTAGACAATCTGCCTGGCACCAAAGTCAATCCAGAGAGTGTGGAAAGGATCAAGCGACGACACAGCTCACAAGAGCAGACTTTCCAGCTGCTGAAGTTATGGAAACGTCAAAATGAAGACCAAGATACAGTCAAGAAGATCATTCAAGGTATAGTAACTTTTTTTTTTAAAGTACAGTAACTTGAACGAAACAAATCAATCAGCAACCACAGACTCTATTACCATAAAACAGGAATAAGATTGTGAGCCAGTGGTATAGCACTTGTCTGTCCATTTGCTGTACAGAGGTAACTCATGGTTGCTGTGATACTAAACACTGTGACACCGATATGCCAAATGTGATAATGGTTACCCATGGTGGACAGTGTTTGGTGGAGCTTAAAACAAGTTTGGAAGCAGGAATGGCATCCACTTCCAAAAAGAAGCTTGCCTCCATTAACTCTATGAACTTGGAGAAATAATGAAAGTTTTACAAGTGTTCAGGTCTTTCATTCATAGGTTCACTATGAGTCATCTATGATTCGACAGCACATAACAAGAAGAAGTAAAGTGTCTACTTGTGATGGCATAAGTGCTATTCGTAATCAATCATGCAAGGTTTTATGACTCTGATCCTCCCTTTTTATTAATTTAAGTATATTGAATCCTCTAAAAGAGATGGGAGTTTAAGTACAAGGTTAGATCTTAGAATGTCTGCTTCTAGGCTCCTTATATCTTAAGTTTGTATCCCTCCTGGCCTACCCAGTAGAAGTCCTTAAAATTCTTGAGATCTTAGCTTGTATTTTCAAGTTGTATTTATTTGGTGCTTTTCTTCAGAGAGGCTCCAAGTATCTTATGAATAGCCTCTCATTAATCCCCCAAACCTGGTCTATTTTAAAATTACCATTTTAATAGCATATGCTGTGAGGATTAATGAGATAAAGTCTGAAAACCATTTGAGCATCTTGGAGGGAAAAGCCAGTTTTAAACCAAGTGCTCTTGTATTTTAGAAGGCTTATAAAGAATATCCTTTATAATCAGTGAGAGGGAGAGGGTTGTGTGTGTGTGTGTGTGTGTGTGTGTGTGTGTGTGATATGAAAGAAGTCGAAAGAAACTTCGTAAGTACTGAGTGGAGCGCAAGTTTTACAATATACAGAGGAAAGCTTTCTGACGTCAGTTAGGACCAGGAAACCTGCTGATGAAAAATGAGGGAAGGTTTTCTTAATACAGATAATGTCAATGAGAAATTCAATCTATACTAGCAGCTAAGTCACTCCTTAATCCTACACAACCTTAAAGATCTCAAGCATAGGAAACTAAGGCAACAGATACTAGCAATAAAATATCTGACAACTGAATCCCTTTGCTTGTGCAAAAAGGTAAACTTTCCTTCTGTTTTTAGCAAGCCAGTATTCTTTGAGAGTATAGTCAACCCTGAAGAAGGAAAAAAAAACAAGGCTAAGGAGAGAATCAGGGAATATTGGAATCAGAAGGGACCACATACATTTCTCATTTTATTAATGAGGACACTTCTGCCCAGAAAGATGAACTGATTTTCATTAGCACTCATGGATATTAAATGACTCGTGTCATTAAGAGAAACATTAGTTACTCATTCTCCTGTGCGTGCCATGGCCCACCACTGAAATAGTCTCTGGGTCATGTGTGTCCTCCATTTCCGTGGTCTCATGTCTTTCAGATAGTTCCATTCACAGTGCTAATCCTATAATACTATGTGTATTTATTAAACGGTTGTTGAAACAACTAAGATTTTTTTCAAATTGGACCTATAGCACATATTTCATCATGAAAATTTATATTATAAAAGATTTTTCTGTGTTTTGAAATTATACTCACTTTTCTTAGAGAAACTAGGTATGTCTGTTATTTATCAGTATTAATTTTTTAAAGAGATGCCTCTAACAAAGCTTTAGAGTCCCTAGGTGACACAAGTTTGTCATATGCGTAGCTACTAATGATAAAGTCGGAGGTTCAAATCCTGCTAAGCCTGGTGATCTAATTCCAAAAAATTAGCCATTGAAAACACTATTGAGAGACATGCATGGGATTTCCATATGTCAAAATCAAAAGCATTGTTAGATATCCAGTATATATGGTGTATTTTCTTAGTAAAGTATAAAATACTTGTATCAGTTCTCAGAATTGGGTCACTTAACTTCTAACAAAGGATAAGTTACCTTTGAAAGTTATGAAATCATGGGAAAACTTTTTTGTCTCAAGTTGATTTTGTGGTGGCATTACGTAAAACCAGTGGGGGCCTGAAGTGGTGGGGTAATAAGGGTATAGATCGTGATTAATCATGATTAACTTTATAGAACTCAATGTATAGGAATGATAAAGTGAAACAGTGTGAATGGAGGCATGTATGAAACACAATGGATAGAAACGAAACACAATGTATATGACTCCTGTATGTAAACCAACATAAACTTTTTTTAAAAAAAGAAAAACAGAAAACATAAAAATTATATTAACCTCTTCTTGGGCATTTTGGTTTTGCAGATATTGACCTCTGTGAAAACAGTGTTCAGCGGCACATTGCACATGCCAACCTCACGTTCGGGCAGCTGAACACCCTGATGGAAAGCCTGCCGGGCAAGAAGGTTGCTCCTGAGGACATTGAGAGAACGATGAAGGTTTGCAAATCACATGAACAGATACTGAAGCTGCTCAGCCTGTGGAGAATGAAAAATGGCGACCAAGACGCCCTGAAGGGTCTAATGCAAGGACTGAAGCACTTGAAAACCTACCGCTTGCCCAGAGCTGCCACTCAGAGTCTGAAGAAGACCATCCGGTTCCTCCACAGTTTCACCATGTACCGATTGTATCAGAAGCTATTTTTGGAAATGATAGGGAACCAGGTCCAATCAGTAAAAATAAGCTGCTTATAACTGACAGTGGTTACTGAACTGTTTCCTGACGTGAGCCAGATCCGACAGGCACGTAAACTGTTTCTCAGGCACTTGAGGGGACACGATTCCTTTCTCTCCACCAATGACTAGATTTTGCCCACAGAAACTATGGTGTGGAGAAAGAACTAACGCTCCCCAAAAAGTTTAACAAAACTCCAAATAGTTTATCTACCTGTCAGATCTGGGCCAATATCTACTGACTATATTTTCCCTTATTACTGCTTGCAGTAATTCAACTGGAAATAATAAACTACACTCCATTGTGCCTTATTCAATATGAGAATGTCTAACGTAAATAGCTTTGAGATCTCAGCAGTGCTAGAGGCTTTTATTAGAAAGCCATGTGTTCTCCCACGTAAAAGTTACTAATATATCTGTAACACTATTTCAGTATTTGCTATTTATATTCATTTGGATATAAGGTTTGTACATATTTTCATCCTAAAGGGAAATTATGTAAGACTTAATTTTAAAGAGAAAAAGTATTTTCTGTTTTTTATATGACAGATGAAAGAGATGAAATATATTTTTTAATGGAAAGTGTGTTGCATTTTCTAATAGGTACTGCAGTTCTTCCTATGTGGAGTGTTTTTATACTGTAATTGTATCTGTATAAGCTGTTATATCATTGTATAGAAAATGCATTGTTTAGTCAGTTGTTTAATGTGGAAAGTGTATGAAATATAAGTTATCTGAATATTAGATGCTCTGAGAAATTGAATGTACCTTATTTAAGAGTTTATGATTTTACTTTATAAGCAGCATCATTAAAGTTTTCAAATTATTTTTCATTGCTTTTCCTCTTGTTTTCTTTTGAATGGAGTGTTAATGAGTCTGAGTTTTCAGATTTTCTTGCTATCACCTGAACCATTTAGGCACTATTTAAAATGCATATTCCTTGACCAGTTTATTGAGCAACTCTGAGGAGGCAGTAATATACATTTTTAACAAACTCCAAACTAATTCTTACTGCAGTAAATTTAGAGAGCTGGTGGCATAGTTCTCAGAACTGCTAACACAAAGGCTGGTGGTTCATATCCGTCAGCTGCTCCACGGGAGGTGGACAGTCTCTTTCGTTCAATTTACAGCCTCCTGAAATCCTCCTGGAGGGTCAACATTTAGTTGGCTTTGGCTCAGTGATAATGATTGAAGTGAGTGATGACATTAAGCTTAGCATGACAGGTGGTGCAACCCACTTAAAGGGGCTGCTGCTAATATTGAGAGCAAACTCTAACTTCTTTTGGCTGCAAGTAGCAAAAATCTAATCCTACTGAAAGAAAAAGAGAAAATTAATGAAAAGTGATGTAACAGGCTGAATAGTAATACCACAAATGATAGGGCCACATCCTCACCTCTGCGACTCTTTAATATTGACTTATCTGGGGGGAAAGGCCTTTACTAGTGTAACAAAAGATCTTAAAAAAGAGATCTTCCCGAAGTATCCAAGTGAATCTTAAATCTAATGACTAGTGTCTTCATAAGAGACACACAGAGGAGAAGACTAAAAGGATAAGATGATGTGAAGATGAAGGTAGAAATATATCCTTATATGTAATACGACAGTTGCTACAGTTATTTAAGGAAGCTCTGGTGGCTTAGTGATAGGGAAATGTACTGCCAATCCAAAACCAAATGGTTCGAATCCACCAGCTGCCCCATGGGGGAAAGGTGAGCAACTTTTTGCATGTGATTTACTGCCTCTGACAACCGACATGCAGCTCAGTTATGAGTCAGTTCCAATTCTACGGTATATAACAACTAAAGTATAAATCTAACACTTATTTGTAATTTTTCATTTATTATATTGATTCTTTGGTTTCTTTTTCCTTTTTACTGCCATTTTTATGTTTATAATATTAAGTTAATAATAATACATCATAAGTTAATAAGCATATAATAAATAATAATAATATATTAATAAGTTCATAAACTTATTATTTGTAACTTCCTTTTTTTTGTTGCTCAGGTGTTTCAAGGTATACTTGTGATTAATCAGCTTCAAATAATACATTGAATTATGTGTAGTTTAAGGATTTTACAACAATTTATTTCCAAATATCTCCTTCAAATTTTGTGCTATTTTTGGTCATAACATATGAATACAAGTATTAATAATACACATATTAATATAGCATATAAAGATAATAAATTACTTTCATTGTAAGTATAAATAATTAATTGCCTATTAGGGTAAATGAAAATAAGGAAAAAAAATTTCATTTCATCTTCATTTTTTCCTACTTAATGCTCTCTTCACTTGTTTGTATCAATCCAATATTTAGTCTGATATTATTTCTTCCTGAAATATTCTCTTAACCTTCCACATTGAAGAAGTGGGAAAGACAATAGATTCCCAGTTTTTTATTGTTGACAAAGATTTTCTTGTATATATTTAAAAGATTTTTTTGTTGTTATATGCTGTCAAGTTACCTGCAACCTATAGCTACCCTATGTACAGCAGCTCTGAACCCTGCTCTAAACTAATTTAACCAGTCTCACAAATTCTGACATATCAACTTCCGTTGCCCCAGTTACCATATCAATCCATCTCATCTGGGGTCTTCCTCTCCTGTGCTGTCCCTCCACCCTTGCAAGCATGATGTCCTTCTCCAAGGACCAGTCTCTCCTGGCCACGTGCCCAAAGTATGAAAAGCAGAGCTTCAAAATTCTAACCTCCGAGGAGAAACTTGCTCTCACCCTCTCTAAGACAGACCTATTGTTTTCTTGGCAGTTTACAGTATGTTCAAGACTCTTCTCCAGCACCATAACTCAAAGCCATCAATTCTTCTGTCCTCATTAGTCATTGTCCAGTCTCTGAAGCATAACAAGTAATTGTGAAGACTGTGGCCTGGATTAGGCGTACTTTAGTCTCTAGACTGACATTGTTGCTTTTCAGCTCTAGAGAGGTCCCTGACAGCAGATCTTCCCAATGTAATTCGTCTTTTGATTTCCTGACTGCTGGTGCCAAGAGTGTTGATTGTGAGGAAGCTCTGGTGGCCTAACAGCAAGAAACTGTGTTGCAATCCCAAAGGCATGCAGTTTGAATCCACCAAATGCTCCACTGGAGAATTGGGAGCAATAGCCTTCTGTGCCTGTCAGATCTGATTTGAGGATACACAACAACAACAACAACAACAAAAACAAAACAAACTAACAAAAAAGAATGTTGATTGTGAAGTCAAGCAAGCTCTAATTGTTAACAACCTCAATCTCTTCATTATCTATCATGGTGTTGCCAATTGGCTCAGTGGTGAGAATCTTTGTCTTCTTGAAGTTGAGCTTCAATCCATATTGAAGACTACAGTCCTTGACTTTCTGCAGCAAGCGCTTGAGGTTTTCTTCAGTTTCAGGAAGTGAGCTTGTTTCATCTGCATAAATTAAAAGATTTTGCTGGGAATAAAAAGAATTGTTGACATTTTTCATCCTTCTTTCAGCATTTCAAAGATGTGACTTCATTGTCTATGATGGTTAAGATTATGTGTCAATTTACTGAGACTTGGTCCTCAGTATGGAATGATGTTATTTGGCAGTGATGGATGATGTAATCATTACACATGGTATGATCTGCCATTCATATTTTAAGGATGGAATATAATTTCCTTACTCAAGTCACAACCCGGATCCAATGTAAGAGAATTTTCCTTGGGACATAGCCCATATCATCCTTAATCCTATGTGAAATAAAAAAAGATAAAGCAAGCAGAGAAGAAAGGACCTCTGTTCTACCAAGAAAGAAGAGCTAAGACCAGAGAGTATCCTTTGGATCCAAAGTTCCTGTGCTGGGAACCTCCTAAACCCAGGAGATACCAAGACATAGAGAAATCTCCAAAGAACACTTGGCCTACAAATTTTGAAGAGCGATCCACCGATGTTGAAGAGCATTTCCCAAAACTCAAGTAGAAAGTATTCTCTGGTGGTCTAGTGGTAAGAAGTTGCACTGCCAACTCAAAGACACATGGTTTGAATCCATCAGCTTCTCCATGGGAAAAAGATGAGCAATCTCCTTTCTTGAGATCTGCTGTCTTTGAAAGATGAAGGGACAATGCAAGAGAGGAAGACCCTGAATAAGATAGATTGACTCAGTGACTAGGGTAATTGGGTAGGTGTGTCAGAAACAGTGAGGTTAGCTCAAGATAGAGCAGGGTTCAGAACTGTTGTACATAGGGTTACTACGAGTAACAGGTGGCTTGATGGCACACAATAACAACATGAGTAGGTTCTGGCATAATAGTACATAAAAACAACAAAATAACAACAACATTAGAAAATAAATTCTTGCCTGTTAAAGCCATCACTTGTGATATTTCTATTACAGCATCATTAGATAACTGAGACACAATCTTCTACCAAACATGGCTTCTAATGAGAAGTCTGTTGCAATTCTTTTCTCTATAAAAGATATTTTTCTCTGCGGGTCTGGTAGATAGAAAGCTATGCTACCAAGTCAAAGGTGGATGATTTAATCTGTGGCATTCAGGCCTGGTTTTATTAGTTTTGGTCAAATATTCTTCTAAGTGTATGTATAACACTAGTCTGTCCATTTGCTGTGCAGAGGTAACTTGTGGTTGCTTTGATGTTAAACACTGTGACACTGATGCATCAAATGTGATAATGGTTACCCAGGGTGACGAGTGGTTGGTGGATCTCCCTGATTAAAACAAACTTGGAAGCAGGAGTGGCATCACTTCTGAAATAGCTTGCCTCCAGAAACTATAAACTTGGTGAAACGATGAAAGTTATACAATTGTTCCAGTCTTTCGTTCATAAGGTCGCTGTGAGTCATTTATGACTCAACGGTACTTAACAACAACAACAACATGGCTAATCTTGAGTGTGTTTTTTTTTTCCTTTTAGTTCTCAGAAGTTTAAACATGAATTTGCATGTTTCATTGTCTGGAATTTCTTCTACTCAGTGTTATTTTAAGAAACCTATAGTGAATGAATCAGTGGTAGGTTGCTAACTGACAGGATATTTCAAA